GGCGGCGGCGGCGGCGGATCCCCGGGGCCCACTTCCGGCGAGCGGGGAGCGCCTGCGGCGTGGCCGCCCGGGCTCGGTGCGTAAGTCCCTTCGCGGCGGAGTAGCCCGCGGCTGTGCTTTGCCGGGGTTGCCGTCGGGGTTTGAGCCGAGCTGTAGGGACGGGCTTGGCCGTGTGGACGTCCTGTGGGTGGGCATCGGCCATGTGCTCGCTTCCACCGTTAACGCTGGGTGACGCGTGAGCGGCCCCTGTCCCCGCCTTATCCACCCAGTCCTTTGAAACGGCTTTGCGTGGCTCTCCTGCTCTCCCCCTAAAGCATCCACTCGCAGGACAGAAGCCGGGGAAGGTTAGTTACGGCCCCCAGGGCCTCCGGGCCAGCAGAGAGGCTTGAACGGTGCTGTGCCTGGAGCCCGGCCACCTCCCCGCTCCCGCGGCCGGTCGGGTCCCCCTGCTGCTCTCCAGCGATCCGTGGGGAAAACGTCCCTGCACGGCCGCTCTTTCCAAACCACAAACGTAGTATTCTCTGTAGATTGAAAGATACTTGTTTCGGGTCGTTCAGTACACGTGGCGTGCTCAAACGTCTGTTGCTTTGGATAACTACTGCTTCTGAGACTAACTTAGCGGGATATTTTTTTTCTTTCCTCAAATATTCGTTCACCGTCATTACACTTGTTAAGAGTATCTGTAGCAAAATAGCTTCAGTTGGAATCCATTGGCTATGCGACTTATCCAGCAAGTCATAGATTTTAATCGGGTTTCCGTCTCATCCATAAAATGACAGTGCTATATTTTAGTCTGCCTCGTAGAGTTTGTAGGAAGAGCAGGTAAGATTTCATAAAAGGCATTCAAAATGGCAATTGGTGCAAGGTGAGTGCTCGAAAGTATGTTAGGTTTTTTTTTTTTTTTTTAAGTACTAGTTTAAATTTTTAAGTAGGTAATTCTATCATATCACAGGAAGTTACCAGTTTCGTTTTTTTTCCTGTTACCAGCTCGCCTTCTGCACAGGTTAATAGCTTTATAAGTTAGTAAATCGGTGTGACTTTATTCATCTTTTTGGCTTTGTGTGTGTGTGTGCTGGAAATTTAACCTTGTTCACACTAGCCAAGTGCTCATCCTCAGCCTTTTTTTTTCCCTTTTAGTGTAATGACTTGATAACTGGTTTCCATTGTTTATATTTTCTGTGCTTATTTCCACTGTTAATACCATTTCTATCCCTAAAGTATCAATTTAGGTAAAAAGAGCCGGGTGTGGTGGCACACCCCTGTAATCCCAGCACTTGCATGTAATCCCAGCACTTGCTTGTAATCCCAGCCCTCAGTAGGAGCCTGAGGCAGGAGGATCTTTGCAAGTCTGAGACCAACCTATGCTACAAAGTGAGCTCAAGGCCAGCCTAAACTGCATAGTGAGATCCTGTCTGAAAAAAAAAAAAAAAGTTATAAAATGTATCAAATTTTCAAAAGTTACAAATTTGTATAAATGTCAGTTCAGTTAACCTTACCAAACCAGGCAGGCGTGGTGGCGCACCCCTGTAATCCCAGCATTCAGGAGGCTGAGGCAGGAGGATCTTTGCAAGTTCAGACCAGCTTGGGCTGCAAAGTGAGCTCAAGGCCAGCCTGAACTGCACAGGGAGACCCTGTGTCAAACAGACAAAAAAAAAAAAAAAAAACACCTTACCTAATCATAGGAACAGAACTAAAATGACAAGCTTTTCTCTTTGATACTTATTTTCTCTACCAGGTTTTTAACCATGTCGTGTCTTCTGCCATCTTTTTTTTTGTACAGCCCACCAAATAAAAATGGTTGAGGGAAAAACTTTTTTTTGAGATAAAGTCTTCCTATATAGTTCAAGTTGGCCTCAAACTCACAGCAGTTCCCCTGCCTCAGCCTTCCAGGTGGCTGGTATTACAGGCATACTCCAGCACGCGTGACAAGGGAAAATGTTTTTATCATGTGAAAATTATATAAAATTCAAATTGCCATATCCACACTTAAAGTTTTATTGAAACATAATTATGCTTTTTTGTTTGGTTGGTTGGGGTTTTTGTTTTTGTTTTTGTCTTTTAAGACAGGATCAGGCTATGCAGTTCAGGCTGGCTTTGAGCTCACTTTGTAGCCCAGGCTGGTCTCAACTCCAAGCTATCCTCCTGTCTCAGCCGCCTCCTAAATGCTGGGATTATAGGCGTGCACCACCACACCCAGCAATTATGCTTATTTTGTTACAAACTTCTGGTAGTTTCCTCTTGCTTAGAAGCCTGATATGTAAATGATCTCTAGTCTGCTGCCTGTTTTCTGTTACATTTTTGTGGACATCGGCACATTTACTCCCCAGTGTAATCTGTAGGATTCCTTTCATGCCACCGTAAACAGAGTTAACAGTAGTTTGGACAGAGCACATTGCCCTCAAATCAAAATACTTACTATCTGGCTCTTTACAGTTTTCTAACCTCAGTCTTCAATATTTCAATTTATGATAATTTTAACATCTATAGGATCTCATGGGTTAAAAATAGTTTTAAATCTGGGTCTAAATTTAAAATGTCAACACTGGGTATGTGGCACATTCCTAGCTACTCCACAGGCTGAGGCAGGCAGATCGCTTGGGTCCACAAGTTTGAAGACAACCAGGGCAACACAGTAAAGTATCCCTAAATAAATGTCAAGATGCGGAGGGGGGGGCTTTTTGTTTTTGAGACGGGTATCAATATGTAGTCTGAGCTAGTCTTGACCTCACTATGTAGCCCATTCTGGGCTTGAATTTATAATCCTCCTGCCTCAGCCTCCCAAGTGCTGAAGTCACAGGCATGGGCCACCACACCCAGCAAGATTATGTTTTAACTAGGTTTTGATCATCTAAAAGTGAAGCCAGAGAAAGGATATTGCTTGTAACAGATTATTTCCCAAGTAAGGAACGGCGTTAATCAGTTTTCTGTTCCTTATAACAGTGCTATAGACTGGGCGTGTAATAGAGGAAAAACATTCAGTTCACAGTTCTCAAGAGGTAAGGTCAAGGGGCTCCATCTAGTGACTGGATTCTTATGGCAAAATTCACATCTAGGGCAAGAGACATTCCCAACACCATCGTTGTGTATACATGTGGTCTCTCTTCCTCCTCTTAGAATCTTACCAAAATACAATCATGGAGTATGCACCATAGTGCCTCATTTCGTCTCAAAGTGAGCTCAAGGTTAACCTGAACTGCACAGCGAGACCTTGTCTCAAAAAGACAAAAAAATAAATAAATAAAGCCCACCCCTAAAGCAGTCTTTCCATTTGCCTCTTTCAAGATGCTACATAGTCCGGGGTGGCCTTGCACTCACTATATTGCTGCTCAGGTTGGCCTGGAACTCAAGATCTTCCTGTCTCTGCCTTCTGACTGCTGGGATTATAGCCATGTACTAAGACTGGCTTACACTATTAATACCTCAGCAATAGGGATTACATCTCAACACATGAAATCTCAATAAGATACTCAACCACAGCTAGAGCTAAATCACCATTCACTGCTTAACCAACCTCTCTAGGCTCTTCTGCTCTTTTTTTAAAATGTTCCATCTTTATGATTATAGTCATATTTCTCAAATTACAAATCCCAGGGTTTGTTTTTTTGTGGTGGGGGGGGTTTGAGACAGGATTTCGCTATGCAGTTCAGGCTGGCCTCAAACTCGCAGCAATTCTCCTGCCTCAGCCTCCCGAGTGCTGGGATTACAGGCGTGTGCCACTACACCCATCCCCAATTTTTTAAAAATGAATTGCTGGGCCAGGCATGGTGGTGCATACCTGTAATCCCAGCACTTGGGAGGCTGAGGCGGGACAATCACTATGAGTTCAAGACCAGCCTGGGCTACAAAGTGAGCTCAAGGCTAACCTGAACTGCACAGCGAGACCCTGTCTCAAAAAGACCATCAATAAATAAATAAATAAATAAGTAAAAAATACATACATACATACATAGCTGGATGGAAATGGCAGATGATTTAACTCATTTAGAAATTGTGATTTCTGAAATATATGCTTTCTGAAATAACTGCAGTTTTCTTTCTGCAGGTCTCGTCTTCCTTTTGAGACCCTGCTTTGCAGACAGAGCCATGGCAGCCCAAGTACTTGTAATTGGCACTGGAGGGAGGGAACACACACTGGCCTGGAAGCTCGCACAGTCTCATCATGTCCGACAAGTGCTGGTTGCCCCAGGAAATGCAGGCACTGCCTGCTC